CCCCCCGCCGCCGCAGGGCATCGCCGTGGCGTTCAGCATCGTGTCGATGCGGCACCCGCAGGTGGTTCTGGACGAAGTTGAGGAGTTCGGCACCGCGCTCACCGACCAGGACGCCTCGCCCATCCTCAAACTCCCGCAGGTGCCTGCGCCCCGTCACCCCAGCCTCCCGGGTCTCCCAGGCCTGGGGTCCCTCCCTGGGAACACCCTCTCCGCCTGGCCCTCACGGGGACGTCCCGTCCTCCTGTCCTGGCCTCAAGCGTTAGAGCTTGCTAGTGCTCACCACCACACGTACACACGTCCCAGGCTTTCCGAGCATGCTTTTCCTCTCCCGGCCTCAGTTTCCCCGTCCGGCAAGGAGACAGCCACTTTGCCTCTCCATCTCCTCCCCTGCAGGAGCTCCAGCAGAGGGAGTGGGGGCTGATCTGTAGCACCATCTACTTCATCTACGCCAAGATCATCTTAGAGAACACGGCCGCCGTCTTCAAACACGTGGACGGCATCCTGGCTTTGACCCTGCAGCACTATCAGAACTGCATTGTGCAGAAGGTGTGGGCAGACCTCTCCCTCCGCACCCTCCTGCCCCCGCTTCTGACCTCCTCTCACAGGGACTTCCACCTCCAGCTTTTGATCTGTCCTTGTGTGTGTGTAAGAGAGAGTCCTGGGGCTTGAACCCAGGGTTTCGGGCTGTCCCGGAGTCTCTTTGTTCTCAAGGTGAGCGCTCTGCCACTTGAGCCACAGCGCCACTTCCAGTTTCCTGGTGCTTCATTGGAGATCAGAGTCTCAAGGACTTTCCTGCCCAGGCTGGCTTTGAATCGTGATCCTCAGATCTCAGCCTCCTGAGTAGCTGGGATGACGGGCGGGAGCCATCGGCGCCCAGCCTCAGTCAGGCATTTCTTACCCAGCTACTCCGGAGCCCTGACTTGGTGGGAAGCACAGCTGTATAGAGAAACTTTCCTGCCCTGCACTGTGGACCGTCCTATGTGCCTTATGCTGGCTAGGCAGGTGCTCTACCACGTGAGCCACACCTCCAGCTGCTATTTGCCTTGGTTATCTCTTCACCCAGGGCGGCAGGATGGGCTGCCCTGTGCTTGCCTGTGTCGCTGGGGTGACGGGGGTGTGCTCCCGTCCCCAGCCCTTGGTTGAGATGGAGCGTCTTGAGAACTTCTATGCCAGGCTGGCCTTGGACCTCAGTCCTCCTGACCTCTGCCTCCCAAGTAGCTAGGGTCACAGGGTTTTGAACTGCCTCACCCGGCTCAAGACACATCTTGAAGGAAGGAGGGAAGCTGGGTGTTTCCAGCTTTTAGTTTGAGGAGAGAGGGGAGCCCCTTCCCCGCCCCCGCCGCCATGGGAGGGGCGGGCATTTCCACCGCAGGAGTTACTGCCCCTGCCTTTCCTCGGCTGCTCCCACCTCCCCAGGGCGAAAGCGTGCAGGGGGGGGGGCTCCCTCACCCTGGGGGCCCTGAGCATCCCCCTCCCCCAGGATAACAATCTGAAGCTGTGTTACCTGGAGACGCTGTCCCACCTCACCAGCGTGCTGAGCCAGCAGGAAATCATGATCCAGAGCAACCTCCCGCACAAGCTGGAGATCGTGGCCTTCATGGTGGTACGGCGGGCGCCAAGGAGCTGGGGGGAGGGGGAGGGGGAGGGCTCCCCACTGCTCCCCCCTCCCCGCCACCGCTGGGCTCCTCTGCCAGCCGGAGGAGAGGCGGTCAGGTCAGGGAAGGACTCGGGGCAAGGGAGGTTGGGGTGGGGGTGCCCCATGGCAGGTTCCTGAGGGGTCTGGGGTTCTAGGCCTAACCTGGAGGCTGCTGGCCGGGGGGCGGGGGGGGAGGAGGAGAGGGAGGAGGAGGAGCAGGAGGAAGAGGAGGCAGCTGAGCTGTGCTCCTGAGGCGTCCTGGTCTTGGGCTGGCCTGTCTGTCGCAGGATGTGATTAGGAAGGAGCCAATCAACACCCTCTCCAGCCCCATTAGACAGAACGCCATGAACATCATCACTGACTTCAGGTAACCAGACACTGGCTCTGTCCATCATCCATCCATCCATCCAACCAACCAACCATCTATCCATCCATCCACCCATTGTCCTTCCAACCATCCATATTCATCCATCCATCTGTCCATCTGCCTTCCGTCTGTCTCATCTGCCCATCTATCAATCTAGTCCATCTATCATCTATCCATGATCTATCCATCATCTATCATCTATCTGCCATCACCTACCTTATCACCTCTCATCTATCATCTATAAATCATCTATCATCTAATTTCTCATCTGTCATCTACTTATCACTCTATCATCTATCAATCTACTATCAGTTTATCATCTGTCAATCATTTATCATCTATCTGTCTATTATCTATATTTATTCTCTGTCATTTAATCTGTCATCTATGCATTGATCATCTATATCTGTCATCTGTCTAATCTTTAGTTGTACAAACAGTTTGCATTTGAATGTCAATTTTTTCTGGGCCTGGGTGTTGTCCTTGAGCTTCTTTTGCTCAAGGCGAGCGCTCTACCACTTGAGCCACAGCACCACTTCTGGCTTTTTCTGTGATGAATTGGAGATCAGAGTCTCGAGGACTTTCCTGCCCAGGCTGGCTTCGAACCACGATCTGAGCTCTCAGCCTCCCGAGTAGCTGGGATGACTGGCGTGAGCCACAGAGCCCGGCTTCCTTTCCATTCTTGTCATCTCCTCCTCTTTCTCTCTCCGTCTGCTCTGTCCGTTCCCCTCCTGCCCGTCCTGCGCAGGAAGTTCAAGCCCATCCTGGAGAACGAGAGCTGGGCGGAGCTGCTGCGGACCTGCCTCGGGAGCGTGCTGGCGCTGCCGCCCTCCGACATCCTGAAGAGAGATGCCTCCAGCCCCAGCCAAGGCCTGGCTGTCGTGGTAACCGCTGCACCTCGCCGTTGTGCGGGAGGCTGGGGGACGGGGGGAGGCCGGGAGGCCGGGGCAGTGTTGCAGGGGAGCAGCCCCCACGTTTAATGAACAGGAGATCAGTGGAGGCCCATGGAGGCTCAGCTGTGGGAGGTCAGGTGGCGTGGACTCCACTGCCCAGGCTGGCTTCAAACCCCCATCCTCAGATCTCAGCCTCCTGAGTAGCTGGGATGCCAGGCGTGAGCGCCGGCGCCGGCTCTTTGGGTATTCAGGTAGATCTTGTGACCAGGCTCCCCGCAGTCTCCTGCCTCCCTGTGGGCTCCTTCACAGCCAGAGGCTGTGTTACGGGTGGGATTGTCTTCTCTCTTTAATGATATGAACCGATGCGTCTTCCCGAGCAGCTAGCCAGCCCGGCTCCTCTGCCCGCTCCTTATGCTCAGGCGGGGAGCGCTGTGAGCGACCCTTCACCCAGGGGCA